AAATCCTGGTGGTTTGAGTGGAGGGGACACGAGTGAGAGGTCACTTACCTTGATGCTTATGTGTTTACACAAGGTTCTTAATACTGCCTTGTATTATAGTATTAGTGCAGGGGAAGCCTGGTTAACCTCTATATAGCATATAATTCATGCTGGTCAGACGACTGCAACACATCCCCAGTTGCTAATGCTGTCATTGAATAGCTGGGATTCTCCTTTCTAGTTGGTTAATATTCCCATTTTTAGTTCTATAGTGTCCCTAGAGAACACAGATTACAGCTGTCACCTGCCTGTATGCAACTCTTGCTTGCTTAATATGCATTAAACTCCCTGGTTCTGTTTACAAACCTCCTTCTCTATTTAAGACTGGGGCTGTATCCTCAGAACACCTTTTTATCTTGGCATTGTGGCAGAGCAGGTAATTTTCTGTACCATTTAAGCTGTTGTGTCTAAGCAACACAGGGTGAGTTGAGGGACCAGGTTTCAAAACTAGTGCTCATGCTTGCTCTCTCTCATTTTATTTTTTTTCCCCTTATTACTTAAGATATTATTCAGGTGTATCAAGGCACATCCAGTGAATGTAAAATGACATCCGCAGAACAGATTAGATCAGTTCACAAGGGGGGAAGGGGGATGTTACTGGGTAGAATAGAAAGTTCTCCACCCCCATGTAACTAGCATGAATCTGGCTTGCATAATTAAGGACTAAAAGTGCTACATTCACTCTGTTAACTTGAGCAGAGCTGTGTTGATTGACATTGGCTGTGCACCCGGCCCATTGTTTCCTAATGACAAATAAATTTCCTTTATTTTGATGAGATTTTAGTAGGTGAAATTAGGGGTAGGAAACAGATACTTGTTTTGTCTCTGATACCAAAGGAGGTGCAGAAGAACTGCTTACAAGTTGGTAGCCTGTTACTGGAAGGTGTTGTGTTGCCTTTCTGGTTTTAGAATTAACCAGCCTTCTTCCTTGTAATGGTCAGTACATTTAGTCCATACTTGATCTCTCTTCCCAATAAATATTTAAGATACGCTATCAGTGCAGAATTTTGTGTTAAGGTTCTTTCTTTCTCACTTGCTTATTTGTTCTCTTCTTTCCTCCCCCAGGAGTGCCAGGTGTAAAAGCAGATCGCTTTGAAGAAGCAATGGTAGCAAAGCACTGTGCCCTCTCTCTGGTGGGAGAGCCAATAATGTACCCTGAAATCAACAGATTTTTAAAATTGCTGCACGGTCACCGCATCTCTAGTTTCCTGGTTACGAATGCACAGTTCCCAGAGGAGATTAGGTGAGTGTCATACAACGTGCGTATCTCAAAGGCATTTTGGCTTATTCTAAAGATCTGTTTTGTGCTTGTGTGGAGATGGAAGCCCATGACACCACAACAATAGATCTGTCTAGGTCTCCCTGCTATTCCTCTCTTCTTCCTCCTTCACAGCTTGATTTTGTTTTCTGTACCTCTTTAATCAAATGTGATTTATTTAGAAGCGGATACATACAGTTGCACCAAACATTCTTAGTATAAGCCACTGGGGAGGTCTGTTTTGTCCTTGTGAATTTTAGGTGGGAGTGAAAGACGGACTGTGTTTTGCATTTGGGAATGCAGGAGTCTAAAAGTAATATGGTTCATGAGTAAAGCAGGAGTTAGAACTCGTCAGAACTACTTAGCTCATTTGCTTCATGTATGACCTTGGCCAGTTGCTCAGTATTTGTTTTCATGTCTCCATCTGCAAAATAGGAATTAATAATTTACTACCTGTCTCATGGAAGGAGTTGTGAGCATTAATGTGTGTGGGGCATTTTAAGACACTGAGAATACAGGCTATGGGCAAATGCAAAGTATGTGTGTATGTATTGACTTATTTTTAAGTATGTTTGATACCTTTTTAATAACAAATTTGAACAAAGTACATCCATTGTTAGAGCTTGCCCCCTGTCTTCTGTAACAGCTGGGGTGCCTGGGAAGTATTGTATTAATACAATTGCATTGTATTAATTGGTTGTGCAGTGTAATAATTAACAAGAATTAATTAAGAGTGTAGACTCCAATTCCTTCTTGGTGTTGCTCAAGCAAAGTCAGGGAGTTAGTTATACAAGCGACAAGTTTGGTTTGTTTTGTTCCCAGTCTCTTATTTCAGCTGGATGCATTTACGTATTCATGGTTTCTGATATGGTGCATTCCTTCCTACCCATCCCCTTTTTGATCTGAATGGAGAGGGAGCGAGAGCCCCGCACATTTTTGAGTGAGTAATTATGGTACTCAAAGCCGTTCCAAATGATTGGGCAATTGTGTAATCAAGTTACTTTTCAAACTGTGTATTATGTGCCTGATAGACAGAAACTTCTCCTTCCAGAAACTAAAAATAAAATTGATAAAAGAGAACCTAGGCTACATTTTAGTGGTTTATTTTAAATAAATAAATAAAACTATAGACTCACTCTCAAAGAATTGCAGCTGATCTTTGATCAGTCAAGGCAAAGGAATTTCTGGTGTAAGGCATTACGAAGTATTGTAGGGTGAGCTTAACTCAATAGTTGTCAACCAAGAAGAAACTAGAGTTAAAAATCAATTCCTAGTGACCCCTAAGTAGCAAAATCAGAACTTGGCACGTAAACTGGGCAATTGGACCAGTGACTGCTAGTGGCACAATCCAAAGCTGGCATTAGTAAGATTTGCTTTCAGATGCATACACTTTTATGAAGGCAAGAGGGATGTTATTGCTGCTGTCCATGCTTAAATTTCTTGGATCCAGTCACTAGTTGTGAATAAATGCTACGCATGTTCAGCTAATGATAATACTGATTATTTTTTTTTAGCTGTTGACCAAACTGCCTACCATATTTAACCATTAAATCCGTGTCAGGATCCCACATTGCCATCTCACGGTGCTGCATCCTGATGTGCTTATCAGCTAACCCAACTCATTACTCTGAGTCATGCTGCACCCTTGGGCTGTGACTGTGCCTGAATTTGTCTTGTAACAGCTGAACACCTTGAATTCTGAACCTGGTCTCACAGATATGGATGCACTTGTCTAAGCATCAAAAGTTCTGTCTTGTGTGGGTATAATGAGAAAAGTGAAACAAAAACTGGTAAAAATCCTTGTCTTGGGACTACATTTTGGAAGCAGCACCTACAGGGCAAATATGCCGGCCTTGTGCTGGGAATGCCCCTGTGAAGTCTGTCTCCCGTGGCTGGGTTGTGGTTGTGACTGCAGTAGCTCTCGCAGTTGATGCCCTCCCCTTGGTAGGGCAGAACAATAAGCAATGCATACCCTCACGGTTTTAAGCTTCACCATGTCTTTGGCAGATGGTGTGGCCCAGATGACACAGTATGGTGTAGGAATTCTTGACCAGCCTCTCTTAGTACTGTCTCTGCTGTCTTATAGCCTTACTGTACTGATTCTGCGGGCTCTTGACTGTCTCCAGCAGCTGTGAAAGAAGGGCAGGATTTGGCCCCTTTTGAGAAGAGATTAATTTGGCAGCTACCACTCTAGAAGACAGTAGCTACATGCTCAATACAACCTCCTCTTTTAAGTAGGCAAAGGGTAACATTCAGAGTACCCTGGCTCTGCTCTGGTAACAATCCATTTGTATCCAGGATGCTTGCCCATTTAGGAGATTGCTGCTTGGACTGCCAGCTCACAGCGCCCCATTAATGAAACCGTTCAATTTTTCACCTAAAATACTGGATTTATTTCCCCTTTAATGATCTGTGCTTGTGTCTGGGAATATGATCGGAGTAGTTGTTTGCATGTCTATATCAAGTAATTGCATTTTTTGACCATTGACAGCTCTGCTGTGGTCTCATTCCAGACAATTTTTTGTCATATTTCATTTTTCTTCTTTGGGGTTTTGGTTAGCAGGCATGATGGACACCTGTAGGAAGGATTTTTTTTAAAGGATATTTGCACTGTAGCCTACTCATTAGCAGCCTTCACAAGCAGCCTTTGCAGAAGGTTATTCTATAATATTTCTCTATAAACCATTAAGAACCACAGATAATAATAACATTTTGAAGCTGTCACTTCATCTTGAAGGCCATCGGATAGAGACGTTTCTTGTTTACTCAGTGTTTGATAGATGTGCATCTTAACTCTCAACAGTCCTGTCTTCTCACCTCCTTCCCCTCCTCACCCCAGAGTGTTAACGAATGTGAAAATTTCCTTGCTTTGTTTATTTCTCCGGCTTTTAAAGAGCCCGTGAAAATTCTGGTTTGTTTTGCTTGTTGTTCTCAATGCCCTGTTTTATTCCTTGCATATATCCTTGGATATAGCATTATTTATTGTACTCTTGCCCCACAGTTATGTGTGTACATGCCCACATCACTCTCTGGCAGCCTTGGAGTTTATGACATGGATGAAATCAATCACAGGCTCTTAAGCTGAATAGGTTAAAACTTTGAGAAGTTAGCTGATAGTGTAAACAGCTGATGTGCCTTCAGTTTTAGAAAAGATGCATCTTAATACGCTTTCCTGCAGATAGACAAGCTGTTGTCTTTTGACTTTGGACAAACAGCAGCTACAGTAATTATAATGACCTCTGTCTTTGTTAAACTGACCATTGATATAGACCAGTGCTTCTCAGTGAGGGCTGTGGGGTACTACCAGATCCTTTGAAGGGTGCCTCAAGGTGTGAGGAGATAAGCAGATAAATTAAGCAGATAAGCACAGGCTTAGGCTTGCCTCTGCCTGAAGGAGTCCCCACCCCAACGCTCAAGCCTCTCTGCAAGGAGGTAAGTACTGTAATATAAAAATTTAGTTTTTGAAATTGGGTATGACTCAATTCACAAGTTATGGAGGGGGTATCTTGAATCCAGTGAGGGGTACCTCAAGTCCAAAAACGTTGAGAACCCCTGATATAGGCACTCATTGGGGCAATATTCAAGTCTCCTCCAGCATCATGTGGTAGAGACTTGGACTAATACAGAATAGGGAAGAAAAAGTCACCTGATTACCCAGTTTTACAATCACCATTCTATGTATTGTGGTAGGTCTCAGGTCTCAT